TGTATTTTAAGCTTCATAGAAGTAGTGGAGTAATGCTTGTAATGTTTGTCCTGTATGGGACAGTGGATCACATTACACTTAACATCACTCTCCACAAATACTTGAATTTTGGGAGTTTCCTAGATTTAAAAAAAAAAAATAAAAAAACAAAAAAAACTATGTTTGAATCTTTATAAAGCCAGAGAATTCTCCTGAGTAGGATTCACGTTTACTCAAGGCTGACTTTCTCTATCCCACGTGACAAAATGCATGGGAATATTCACCTTGACAGATTCTAGCTGTGGAAGCTATGCTATACTCACTACCAAATAATTTGTGGCATTAATCTTGATTATCAGCTTGACTGGATTAAAGGTATCTATGACATGAGTAAAGCACACCTTGGAGTATGTCTGTGGAGGCTGTTTACAGAGATGATTACCATGTAAGCCAGCAAAGTGAGGGGGAGACTTGCCATGATTGAGGGTGGCACAATCCAATAGGCTCAAAGCCCAGAAAAGCAAAAAACAGAAAAGGAAAGGAGGAAATCAGCGTGCACACAGAGGCTTGATTATGTTGGAGCGGGTATGTTCTTTCCCACTGCCGTGGCCTGTACCTCAGACTGCAGCTTCTCTAAGCTTTCCAGTGCGGACTTGGACCAGTGACTCTCCAGGGACACTCCTTCCTTTGTCTCTGTTTTGGAGGCTTCCAGCTTCTTGGATCCTCTTGCTCTTCTTTCTGCAGACAGCTATTGTGCAGTGTAGACGATCCCACCACTGATCGGTAAGCTTAACTCGTAAACCCCCTTGTATAAAATCAATCTCACTTTCTCTCTCTTTCACATTCTTTCTCTACATCATTGAGTTTCTTCCTCTAGAGAAGCTAAACCAGTACAGAATTCCAGCAGTGCATCTCTCTCATCTTCTTGACTTTGTGAGCAAGAGTGAAGACAGGAGACCACCTCATCTTCCAAACTCCAGGGCACACAAATCAAGCCCCTCAAGCATTATTCCCTTTGTGTAACACTTCCCTCAACTGCAAGCAGGAGATGACTGGATAAAAAACAACTTTCTCCAAAGGAGACTCTTTTAATACTTTTTTATTTTGTAGTTAATCATATGGCCAGCTACTTTGAAAATACGTGTTTTTAAGCTCAGAATTTACCTAATTGAATATTATTGTCATATACAGCCTGAATCAAGTTTCCTGAATAAAAATTCTAATTTGTTCACAAATATTAATATCTTAATTGGAAAGATGAAAGAATGAAACCATACTAGTATCATTATCTCTAGTAAGCCCCTATATATAAAAATGTAAATAAAGACCAAATTACTCCGGGAGTATTTTAGGCTTATTTCCACAATATGCTAAGTTTTTCCCAAAAATGATGGTATGATGCTTCAGATAAAACAGAGAAGTACACAGTCTTATGTTTCTGACATCATTCTACACATGAAAAGAAAGGGTTGTTGTAATTTTCAATGAACAATTTACTCATATTCATATATGCGTATATAGTGTTTTTCATTGTTAAATATTTCTAAAAGTAGAATTTTAAAATTTGGTGTGGATCATTTAGTAACTGTTGTTAAGACAAAGAGATCCAAGGAGGTATTTTAAACAACATTTTGGCGTTACAAAACTGTCTGACAATGTTGGTCAGACAATACACAGCTTGTTCTATTCATATTTATCCTGCTGATCTGGAAGATAAAACTGATACTTCCCTGCAGGAGCTGCACTAGCTGGAATGAGACATTGTGTTTGTAGGACCTGTGATCTTCTTTACAGAGCAAAACAATTCATAAACTTAGAAAAGGGCACTATAAAAAATTCCACCTCATCTTCTGTAAAAATAATGTGAGCAGGACCAAGTTTCAGCAATAGCTAAAGCAAAGATAATAAAAATCATGATCTTCCTCATTTATTATTGAGAATACTAAAGGGAGAAAAGGTGATCAAGACATTTTAGTGTCACTTGAGTGACAGGTATATTGATGTAATTTTTTCAAATGAGAATTTAAGTTTTTTCTTGAACTGCTTTTTTTTACATTACTAATGTCAAACAGTGTTGAATTTTTTTAATTATGCAGTCAATTTTACAGTGAGTACTCTTGGTCGAGACTTCCACACATGTTATTGCACTTTTCTATGTTAGTGTGTATGATTACTACTATGAGCAAACATTTTACACTTACCTGACTGCTCACCAACTTTTATTAATCTTTTCTGCTTGCATGTCAGCATCTTTATGAAATCATTTTCCTTATTTCTGAAGTATGTCTTCATTGGTTTCCTCACTAAAATTGTTTGAGAGTACACTTTGTTTGTCTGAGAGTGCATTTTTTTTTTCCAATAGTCTTAAATTACTGCTTTGTTAGATTAAAAACAAAACAAGCTTACTTGATCTTAATTTTCAGAAGTCAGGACTAAACTTAGAGATTCTTTCTTATACAGAGGATTTATCTTTTGTTTCATTGAAGAACTAGAAAGTCCTGTCAGCATGATAGCATTTTGGCTTCCTTTGAGAGACCTGGTTAGGTAGAAACCGCAGTCAGCTCCCCACCACGGATGTGAATATCAGTATCAGTGGTCTCTTTCATTGTAGAAAGACAATTTCAATAGTTCTCATGAAGGATACTTCACAAAGGAATTCTTTCAAATTTTACTTAATCTGGGTTGTAAAACATTTAAAAAGCACAAAACTTTTAGCTTAATAAAAGTGAATCTGATCATTATAATAGTTTTTTGAAGATTACCAAAATTTTCTTCCTCCCTGCTCTGTACAGGGTTGAAGCAGTGGACTTGTTAAGTGATGGGGTGATATATGTTCACATTTTCTCCTTAAAGCAGAAACACAGTTGATGAATTTCAAAGAGCTAGATTTAAATATGAGAAAATTAATACAAAATGACAGATTATGCATGGTAAGCACTTCTTCAAAAGACTGAAAGTTGTTTTTCAAAATCTTTTTTTAGTGATTTTAAGATAGTCAATTAATTATCATCAACCATAGTTACCCTATGGTACTGTAAAGTCTTACAAGTTATTCCACCCAAGCTACCCTTCCCTTGTGTGTGTCAACTACTGTTTTCTCCAACATACCTGGAAACCCTTCCCAGACTCTGGTAAAGAGCATTTTGTCTCACTTTTTATGCTATCGACTTCTTTAGTTTTCACATATAAGTGAGACCATGTGTGGTGTTTTGTGCATGACTTATTTCACTTAACATGGTCCTCCAGTTCCATCTGTGTTGCTACTAATGAAATAATTTCATTATTTTTCAGATGAATAGCATGCCATATAGCATATTTTCATTGCCTGTTCTTCCATGGATGGACATTTAGGCTGATTCCTCAGCTTAGCTGTTGTGAGCTGATTCCTCAGCTTAGCTATTCAAACGACTCTTTGACAGGCTGACTTCAGTTTTTTGTATATATATATATATATATATATATATATATATATATATATATTCTCAGTGGTAGTTTGGCTGCATAACATACTAGTTTATTTTTAGTTTTTGATGAACTTCTAAACTATTTCCACTATGTTTATACAGATTTACATTTCTACCACCCTTGTGTGAGAGTAGTCCTTTTGTCATTCTCATTAGCACTGTTATTATCTTACTCGTTAACAATAGCCATTTTAATCTGACTGAGATGATATCTCATTTTGGTTTTATTCATATTTCTTTAATGATTAATGATAGCATGAATTACATTTTAACAGCAGTTTCAGAATGAAAATAACTGCTGGGCATGGTGGTGCACATCTGTAATTCCAGCACTCTAAGAGGCTGAAGGATAAGGATCATAAGTTGAAGCCCTGACTGGGCACTTTGGGACTTCATGAGAACCTGTCTGAAAATAAAAAAAAAATAAACATAAGTACTGGGGATAAAAATCAGTTCAAAAGCCTCGGGTTCAATCCCTAGTACAAAGCATGTAAAGAAAAGAACCAATGATCATTGAAAAGAGAGTTTAAAGTTTAGTGAATCATGTGGGATTCAAAACAAAAAAGTTTTTGAGCTTTTTGTATCTTCTGACAGACTGAAATTTTGTTGTGATACATTTCCTCTATTTTGTTTATTGCTGTATCTAACTTGTGAGATTAACAATGCTCAGAGACCACTCCTTTTACAGTTTCAATATATGAGTAAAAAACACAAATGATATCACATTGCGGAATGTTTCACTCATCATCCAATGCTAAAGCATAGCTCTATCTTTATTTCTCATTGCTTTAGTCTTCTCTTAAGCTTTTCTAACCTTTATCTTTTATAATGTTTCTCACTTAGTGTGTTGGTTACATTTATTCTGATTATTTTATTTTAAAAATGAAAAACATTCAGTAAAGTCATCGCTCAAAACCCTCAAAAAATTTATCAAGATGTATACTTGAGAATATTGAGAATTTCAAGCAGAGTTAGATTTTCAAACCCAAAGAGCTCTCATATATGCTCTTCTATCCTAGGTTTCTTACATTTTTATATTCTCACTCATCCCTGCCCTGTAAAGGAAGAGAAAAGAAATGTTGGTATATTTTTGGTACAATACTTATTTTTTTTTTCCTCAGGATAATTTTTAACCATTTCAAATAGGAAAAGTAACAAAAGTGTGGATTGAACCATCAGTCACTTGTCTCTGTGGAGAAATTTAATATTACCTTTTATTATCTTTCCCCAGTCCGAGAAGGAGACAGCAGAGCTCCTTCCACATTTTTCTTCCTCCTCTTTTATTTTCTTGTGGTTCATCATATAATTAGTGGTTGCAAGAAACTGAGGGTCTAAATGTTTTCCCAAGTCAGCCAACTTACTTCCTGACTTTTATGCATGGTAAGCACTTCTTAAAATAAGCACTAGCTTATTTTAAGCCAGTTAACGTGATGGTCTGCTCATATCAACTATAAAATTGTATTAACATAGGACTTCATGTTAAATACAAATACCACCTCCGATAAGTATGTGTGTCTTAGGCTCCGAGACAAATGAATTGTATTTATAAATGAAGACATCTTTGAATACAGAAGGGATGCACACTCAGCCACACGCATCGATACCGGACAGAGCCTCAGGTAGGCTGTGTGGTTCTCTCACCTATGAATTGGGAAGCCTGCTCTTTTATGGTTTGTGTTTTCATCAGGGTGGGTAGGGGAGGCCTTTTGGAATATTGTATGTCTCTTGTGGGGATAGGAAAATATGGTGCCAAAGTTTGTCTTAAGAGAGAACACAGAGTTTGGTTAGGATGACCAATTATCATCAAGGACATCAGGGACAGGAAGGGAGTGGAACAAGCCATTGTGTATTTCCTATAGCCTAGGGAATGTGTCTGCTTTCAAGTATTGTCTCTTAAATATGAGAAGTGTGTGCAATAAAACAGGAGGCACAGACTACTATTGTCATGTGCTTTATTATTTTAATATATTTTGTATTCTCATGTGTTACACAATTAACACACATGCTCTAAAATGTTGTAGTAGCCTAATCCTCATAAAATACTCAGGCATTGTGCATTAATAGCAAAATGTTTCCTTTGCAATCAATAAAATGAGGTTAAAATATTGCATTGTTTTAATCATCAGGACAAAATTGTGGCTTTTACATCAATTTCAATATGTTTCCTTTATGTGAGGAAAATGATTTGGAACAGGTGAAATAAGTTATGATTCCAGAGAATCTATAGCTACACAAAAGAAAATAATTTTTTAAGTTAAATGGAGTTGGAAAAGGTAAAATACCTTATGATCCCATGGAATTTGCATTACATAGGAGGCAAGTTCTTTTAAGTAAAAAAGATATATAATACTAAATAAAAGGAAATTTTAAATGAGAAGAAATTGAAGAATCCTATCAGGACTCAAGATGTACTAGAAATATATTTTCTATATTTTAAAATTTTAAAAATATATGAAGTAAATATTTCAATATAGTTTCCTAAGTATGCTAAGGTGTCCCAGGGTATGAGTGATTAAAGTGAAAATAATTAGGGTTCTAAACATGTCCTCTTTCACTTTTCATCAAGATCAGACATACTTATTAATAGTTTCGAGAAACACATCCTGCCATGGTTTATTACCAACCAGCAAAGATGTAAATTGCTTTTCCAAAACTGACATGGAACTGCAATCTCAACAGGGTCACTCAGGGCATTTAAACTATACTGTATATGCATTTACAGTAGAGGGCACACAGAACATTAAGCCTTCACATTTTAATATATTTAATTTGGCACAGTTGATACTGTTCTTTTAGAACTGTTAATCTTTTCAACCAATGCAGCAAAATGTCAGTATCTTCATTTACAGAGTATAATAGGCTTATATTCTGAAACAATAAAGTTATAATAGCTTGTCTGTTGCTTGGTGAAGCTACACAAATTCAGCATAAACAAGTTGTTGCATGCCCTAGTTCTGTTCAAGGTTCTTCACACATACATGCCCTTCCCTTCCTATCGGGACACTGGACACATTTGTAATTTTTGTTATAAAACTAACTCCTGAGTTTAGATTTATTTTCAATTTTGGTGTAATTCACACTATTTTTCCTTTATTGACATAATTAGCAACTAAAAACATTTGTACTTTTAATGTGAAGTGAATGATAGCATGACTTTTAATACACTGAATTTTTTTCGTAGATCCAAAAGATTTGGTAAAGGTCCATAACACATTGGAAGTAGAGAAATGTGGAAGTGAGATTTTATATGATATATCCCTTCTTTTTACAGATAATAATATTCACACTTATTCTTCAATGAAAAGGAATAAATCTGTTGTATTCAATTATCTATTCCAAGTCATTTCAATTCCAAAATATAGGAATCAATTTATTGCAAAAGGTAAAATAAAACAATCATAAGGTGTAATTATTATTGTGACATAATGAGGTATTTCACTTTCAAATACTATACAGCTGTACTCTCATTTCCTTAACATCATATATTGTGTTTAGAACTGTTATTACTGTTTTTAATCTGTTCTATTAAAACACCAGAAGTGTAATTATCTAGATAAAAATTGTTACTCTAAAATTTCTTTCAAGCTATTGATATCAGTATTGAACTCTCTTGCTGAATAATTTCAGGGATTGTCTCTCAATTCAGAATACTTCTAGCACTTCTGTCCTTTTATACACAAGTTCATAAAAAGCTATATTTGATCTGCAGCAACCACCATTACCTAGCTTCAAATAAATATTTGCACATTAAACAAAGCAAGATTCTATAAGCATTATTGAGCCCATTTTAGAAATAAGTTTATACAATCAACTAATTTCTTAACCAAATTTATACCATATGAATATACAATGTTTGGCCCATGTATTTTTAAGTCAACTATAAATTTAGAATATCTCCCTATATATTTATGTGTACATGTGTCTGTGCATGTGGGTGTATCTCCTGCATGTACATTAATAGAATCTATTTATCTATTATTTATCTATCTATCTTTTGGTACTTTAGAACATTTAAGATTTCTAAGGCTATTTTATAGTGCACGACACTTTCAGAAAGTAAAATTGATGGATAATGTATGTTTGTGCTAAGGAACTTTGCTTTTATGAGATAAAAATTTCTCATATGTAAAACAGGAATAATTTCACTTTCGTAGGATGGTTTTAAGTGTGAAGTTTGTAGTATATTAAGTGTTTTTCCCATACATGTTACATAAAAAATGTTCAAAAATGATAAACTTCATTAATGTTACTAATATGTAAGTAGTTTTTAAATACACAGATTTTACAACCAAATTATTTGTCTATGGCGTCTTAGCTATCTATCCACTTCAAGTCAACAGATTTCAGTTTAGTGACAGGGCATGACACTGAGAAACACTATGGCCATTTCCTTATCTAGAAGAAGATTCACTCTTCAGATATTGCAGGCTAATCTAGCAGTCAAGAATGATTTTGAAAGAAGATCTGGGAAGATAGCTAAGAAATAGATGAAATGTATAGAAGTTATTGTAAATATTACCAATGCTACTACTTTATGATTGGAAGGAATAATACATTTTAGAACTGAAAGAGCTGCAGAACCAAGCCAGCACATTACAAGAGGTGGAGGAATCTGGCAGTAACAACAGGTTTGTGAGGATTCTGGTTCCAAATGAGCACTATTGCCTTGGATTTGAAAAGGTTGTTGATACGGAGATGATCACCTCCATTTCAGCACAATGGGGGCTACATACCATCCTCCCTCTGGGGGGCCCTTAGAGCTGGGAGAAAGACAGCCACTCAACAGTGAAGAAGCAAGGCCCCTGCAGTGGCGGAGGGTTGGCATCAGGAAGTACAGAATGCTCAGAATGGTGTGATGTGTGGCCCAAATTCCCACTTCATTGGTGAAGCTCTCAGCCTCCAACTGGGAGTGTTGGTGGCTGATGACGCTCATCTAAATGCAGCTCTTTGAACTGGTCTCTGAAGAAATCCCCATCCAGGTGTTTTCTACTTTCTAGGGAGCAGCTGCTACCCAATATCTGTGCAATGTGGACAGTAAAACAATTCCTACCTTTGTTCTCAAAGTACAGAGAGGGAGGACTGGACGGAGAGGTCTTAGGTCCACAGCTCCCTTTGCAGTCTACTGAGACCTTCATTGTGACTCCTTTGCATCTCTTCTACTAGCCCTACTTACTTTATTTCTCATCAGACTTTTGTTTTATGTTGTAGTATACATAACATAACATAAAAATTTCCATTTTAACAGTTCTCACACGTACATTTCAGTGGTGTTAATTACAGCCACATTGTTATTCAACCATCCTCACCAAGGCCAGAACTCTTTCTTATCCCAAACTAGAACTTTGTACTCAGTAAACAACATCCAGCCCTGGAAACCACCCTAATCCTTTCTGTCTCTTTGAATTTGACTACGCTAAGTACATTTTTTTCAAGGAATTATGAAACTTTCATCTATAGGATATTATGGATAATATCCTCATTTTTCATCCATGTTATAATGTGTTAGAATTCCTTTCCCATTTTGGTCAAGAAGTAGTATACTGTGTGTGTGTGTGTTTATTCATCTGTCAGTGGACATTTGGGGTGTGTTTATCTTTTGGCTACTGCGAATGAATGGTGCATGGCTGAACAAATATCTTCTCATACTCCTGCTTTCAGTTCTTTTGGGTATACATTCAGAAGTGGAATTCCTATATCATACGTTAATCTTATGTTTAATATTTTGAGGAAACACCATGCTATTTTCAACAATGGCTGTATCATTTTACGTTCTTACTAGAATAACACATTTGCTAATTTCTTAACACTTTCACTAATGCTTATTAATTTATTTCTTTTTATAAACAGCATATACTTTAATTGGTACAAAGTGGTATCTCATTGCAGTTTTGACCTGTGTTAATTTTCCTACTGAATAATAATGCTGAACCTTTTTTCATGTCCTTTACCAATTGCAAATATTCCTTGGAGAAATATGTATTCAAATCCTTTGCTTAGTTTTTTAATTGGCTACATGAGTGTCTTCTGTGTAGTTTGAGTTGTCACAGTTTATATATTCTGAATATAAATCACTAATCAGATATCAGATTTACAAATATTTCTCCCTTTCTGAGCATTGCCTCCTCTCTCTTTTGATAGAGCTCTTTGATGAAGAAAAGTTTTCAGTTTTATTACAGACCAACTCTTCACTTTTCCTTTTGTCAATTTGCTTTGGTACCATAACAAAGAAGTAATTTCCAAAATTGTTATCATGAGGCCTTGCTTGATATATAGCTTTATCTCTTACATTTCATCCATTGATCCATTTTGATTTAATATTTTTTGTCTTTTTTTTTTTCTGAGACAGGGTCTTGCTATGCACTTCAGGGCGGCCTTGAGCTCACTTTGTAGCCCTGGCTGGTCTCAAAGTTGCAATGATTCTGCTGCCTCAGCCTCCTGAGTGCTGGGATTACAGGCATGCACCACAACACCTGGCTCTGATTTAATTTTTATATATAGCATAAATCCAAATTTATTTTTGTCTATGTAAATATCACTTTTCCCAGAATCCTTTTTTTGTAAAACTGTCCCTTTCCCTGTTGAACAATACTGGAACTCTTGTTGAAAACTATTCAACTAT